GGAAAGAGAAAAATCAGATTGTGGTCTAATGACAATATAATCTATTTACTTACATACACTAATTACTATAGGCTTACTTGAATTAAGAATTAATGACAATAGTATTAATAATAATCTTTTGTAGCCCACTCCCATGCATTGCACATTACACCCCAGTCTCAATAACATTTTCTAAAGTTAATTCCACCAATTTTCGCTTCCCCATTGCAAAAAGAAAAATTCCATTTCTGTTAACACAGTCTGAACTCAACTGCAAACACAGTACTGATGGAGTTAAAACTGTGTCTTCTGCAAAACTGTAGTCCAGTAAAGGGTTCAGCAAAAGAATAGTGAAACACTTGCAATGCATTCCAATAATGGGTTCAATGTCCATAAGACAATCCTCAAGAGAGGAGGCATTCATCAGTCAGAAATTCAAAATAACAAAATATGTAACTGAAAATGTTTCCCTGAAAGCATTGAAGCTAAGTGCATGAACCTGTCCAACTTACAACGAAAGGGGTGTTCAAGTTCCAGGATAAAGGGGTGTCCAAGATATAGGGTATTATGGACATGTAAAATTATAGGATATTTGCCAGTTCCAGTTAAAAGTGTCCAATATAAAGGGGTGTCAAGGATATAGGGATGTCCAACTTGAGGGGTTCTATTGTATATACTTATTCAGAATAGGTCCATATGTTACAAGTTAATATTTGTACTATTTGGTACATGTTTATATGTAGTATAGAATTTTAATGTAGTTTTAGGAACTCAAAATGCATATAATCAAGAATACAATTATGTACCAGATAGCAAAAATTTTAACAGAATAAGCACATGATCGGCTATGTTTATAAATATAAAATAATATTGAGTAACAAATATAAGAAGTTTTACATTTATAATGAAATTGTGTTGATGAAACTGATATGAAGTTGAGCAATATAAAATACGGTCAGAATGCTTCAATATAACAAATTATGAAGCCTCTCCTTTTGTGTCACTTTATGTCCCTTAGGTCCAAATATTCTCTTCAGCAATGTGTTATGAAAGGCAGAGGTTTACAAGCATATAAAAAATTTAATTTTCATATATTTCAATTATTAGGTTTTTACAATGTGGTGATGCTTGTTTGGAAATTATACGTTTTCATTCGGGACTTATCACATTTGTGTTGCAGCACGAGCTCAGTGCAGCATGAAATCAGCGATGATGGGGAATGGCGACCATCTGGCACAGCAGCAGATGGCCCATTGCGTCGCAGTCCTCGCAAACAAAATATTCCTGTGCGAATCCATGTCCGTCGAAGTGCACGCAACATGGTTACAGAACGAAAGCAATTTAAGAAAGACGAGAACTCAAAAGGACAGGCACTCATCACGGTAACAGATAGCAGTATTGTCATTGAGGAAGTGGATGCTGCAGGCATCATCACTACGGATGAGCATTTAAAGACCGAGGTGGTGCCAGGTTGGTCATTTGCTTTGTGTTTAATTGGTGAATATGCAGACATGTTTCTTGGAAATTTTGAGGAAATATGAATCATCTTAGAATTAGTTATAACTACATGGAGGTACAGTAGTTAAAAGCTTCACACGCATATTTAAATGTATTTATTTTAGAACCACCAAGTTTCCCACTTCCATCTTTCAGTTATTTTCTTAATCACAGATATATTACAATTTATGTCCTGTTTAAAATTCCATCTTTGGAAAATAGTCACTTCATGTTGTTTACAGGTTTATGTTTCTTTGTTAAATTTGCATTAAATAAATTTAAAATCTACAGGTTTTGTCTATTTTCATTCTCATCAGCACTAGAGTAATAAATCCAAATGTCATTGTATAGTGGCTGGCATTTCTACTTTATAACAGTGATTGAAAAGTCACACAACCCACATTAATTTTTTTATGGTTGCAGTTCAGCACTGTTCTATTGGATTAATGAAAACAAAATATCACTGTGACTATACAAGAGCCCATGCAGGTCACCTCATGTTGTAACCTGCTTGTGCCAGTCTGTCAGTTGTCTTTCAACAGTCAAAGTACAAGGATGTCTTTTTCTCAAGTGGAATGAATTCTTATTGTCGAACATAACTGGCATAGTTAGGCCTGTCACACACAATGGGGGCAGTAATAGACAAGCATGGAGCATTGGTGGAATGATTGGGAAACCTGAAGTACTCAGAAAATACTGTGCCTCTTTGTGCATCTGACTGACTGACTATGGCACAACAGCCCGAAGCTGAGCCTTGGTCTCCTCCCATGTGGGAGGTTTCTTTGTCTTGGAAGTGTGCATTTATGAGTAGTGAGTGACAAGTTCACTGCTTCTGCACAATTTCTACTCAATCCTTATTTGTCTGTTAGAGCCATCTAGTAGTGAATCAGGAGAGAATTGGATGAGAAGTGGCTGCTGAATTTTGCTTATGAAACATCTTTTTTATGCTCTTAAGGTTCTTTTACATGCCATAAATATATTATACGGGACTGCCGGCTTTACTTCCCCTCTGAAGGAAGTTGTGCTATGGATTCTTATCACCCTTAAAAATGCATCGACCTCAGCCAGGTTTGAACCCACAAACCTTGAGTCTAGTGGCGAGCACGCGTCCTCTTTGTGCATCACAAGATCCCATATAGACTACCCTGTTATTGAACCCATGTGTATATGGTGAGAAACTATTGCCTTAAACCTTTGTGTCTGTGCTAATAGAACTTTAACATTATCCTCAGAAATTAAAAAATTAATAGGATTTGAGGTTCTTACAGCAGTTTAAACAAAGATGGCTGTCTTTTGGATTGTAGTACCAGGTAGTGTGGTAAACGTTTACCATTGTTTCAGAGATCCTTGCTGCCTCCATCATCAGGGTAATTGCCTGATGATGGCAGTGGTGAGGATCTCTGAAATGTTGGTAAACATCTACCTGACTGCATGGTACTACATCCCAGAAGTTTGCCATTTTAAAAATTAATTACCGTTCAGACAGTTGCTACATGACATAAAATTGTGTCTCTTAAGGAGTGTTATATATTTTTGTTGTTGATTAGCACTATCTTGAGTAAATGAGCATCTAAGTGAGTGATGTATGCAAAATTGTAAAGGAACATATTTGGAAAGTATGTCTATTTCATTGACATATTCCTTTTCTCTCTTGTTAAACACATTACAGACAATGTAACTTGGATAATTGAGAGTTTACTGTGCATAGGCTGGAGACATTATGTAACCTGGTGCTGTAGGTGAGGAAGAGAAAGAACCTGTAAGTGAGGAGGTCCCAGTGGAGCATCCCCCTGTCGAAAAACAGAAGGAGGAGCCGGTAGATGAGGACGTTGGTGACCCCAAGAAGTCATCTGTTAAAGTAGACTGCTGTGATGAGGCTGTCGTAGTGGCAGGCCTGGAAAGTGTGGGCATGTCCCTGGAGCAGGTGCACATCGAGGTTGGGGAGCGTGTCAAGCTCAAGAGACGCAAGAAGAAGAGAAGTCACAATGCTCAGGAGCCAAGCATAGATGTCAGAAGTAGCACAAAACACAAGCGGAAGAAGCACAAACGTGGGGAACATAGTACAAAGAAGTGAGTCCCTGTAACGTTAGTCTTTTTTCCCCTTCATCTGTGGATTTTAATTGTTTCCCAATTCTTGTAATGTATAACGGATAAGTATTCCAAATTTTATTCTTCTGTTGTGTTGTGACTTTTTCATATTAAATCATTTTTGGTGTTTCCTTTTTGCTGTCCTCATGTTTTCAAGTAGATTAATTATTTTGGCAATCTGTGTTCTCCCATTCATTTTGTGTATCCATATCATTACATCATTTAACTTTTTTCTTTTTCTTTTACTTTCCTCATGCATGTTGTTCTGCATGTTCCATCCATCACATTCTTTCTGATGTTGTCACACTAACAATTTTATGCATAGCATACAAATTATGAAGCTGCTCATTATGGAATGCTTCTCATCCCCTTGTTGCTTTATTTGGTCAAGGAACTCTCATCATTAGCTGCCTTGACAGAAATCTTATATGCATTTCTCATCTGTCTTATATTGCTTGCTGAGTGTCCTGCCTGTATAAATCACATTGATCTAATCACCATAATGTTTCTGCTTTTACTTGTATAGTTCGTTTCTAGATTTTCTTACAGTTCTTCCCTTGGAATATGAAGTGGGCATATAAGTATGAATTAAATCTATTGATAATGGAATTTTAAAATATATAGTGTTCATTTTTGGAATACATACATCTCATGTGTCATGCAATTACTATATTTACTTAATATCAATGTCATAATTTCACTGTCTGCAAATGTATCTTTCTTACGTGTGTAAATGTGTATTGCACAACTTATGCTGTCCTTTTTATGAATGTTTTTTCTTCAACTGATGCTGACACACCTGTGCAACATGTTATGATATTGTTGCCTTGATAATAAATGCTTTTCTTCTACTCCATTATCATATTCTAAAGATAGCTTTTGTGAGTTGTAAGTACTTCACATTTGAGCATTGACATTTTTATTATTTAGATCTAAGTATTGTCCTTGGAAATTTCTTCTCTCAGTTTGTGTTTTTCCCTCAAGATGATAGATCAAGTTTTGCATCCATTGAATGAAATGAAATATATATAATTTTTTGTCTGATATCTGTGTCGTATTGATGGTCTGTAGAGTATATCCATCTACTCTTGTTGTGGATTATCACAAATAGGCAGTGCAGCTGACATGCCTGTAAATCACAGTACTGATGGATCATATGCCTGGCCTCAAATTCAGAGTCTTCCTGCATTCAGTTCTGAACCTATAAAATGTAACATTGTTTCAGAAAACACCATGATATCCGCAAGGCACCACAAGACGGGATCCCACAGGATGAGTCCAAAGAGGTGATGCCAGAGACAGAGAGCAGAGAGCAGGCTGATGTGTCATCAGGGGATCAGGGACCAAATTGCAGTGATGAGCTGCAGCTTCCCCAGCCACAACAGCGAGTTGCCATCCGTATTAAGCTGTGTTGTGACTGCAATTTGAGACATGTACAGGATGCGTGTCCACTCCGTAATCCTGCGATAATCATTGGTGATGCTGTGATATTTGGACAGTGGCAGAGTGAAAAGAAACAGGTTCGGACTAAGCCACTAAGTTGTGATGGGGAAGGGACCCCAGAAAAACATTCAAATGCTCAGAGTGACTCAACGAATGGTGTGATTTCTGTAAACAGTGGGGAAATTGGTGGATTGAACAAGTATGATGACAGAACATTCTTGGAAGAGACACAAGGTGATAGCATTCCAGACTTAGGTCATTCTAACTTAAAGGGAGACAGCACCGACAGCTCAGAGTGCACCACTGATGTGAAGCTGTTCTCAATGGGCACATCTGAACAGAGGCTTTGTTTTGCTGAGGCATCACTGCCTGTAGGTCTGGAATTACAGGTGTGTGATCCAGCCCATGGGCTCAGTGTTGTGACACGCTGCCATCTGAGGCAGTACACACAGTTTGGGCCACTTGTGGGGCAGCCAATCAAGGAGATGGACATTCCTGATGACTTTAACATGAAGGACATATGGGAGGTGAGCCTGCGGAGCATTTTAAGTCCTACAGGGTTATCCAGAATATTTTTAAAGTGTAAAGATATATTCATGTAAAGAACAAGTATGTTTTTGCCATGCTCATTTTAGAGATGTTTTGGCAAGTATGAGTCTTTTCTTTTTCCTATACTTTAGATTTAAAACTAGGTTTTTGTACATTTATGTAACTACGTATTTAACTATCTGGTAATACAACTCAGTAATTTGACACTTTTAATAGCACCTCCTGCAAATTACATAATTTTGAGGCAATTCATTTGAAGTTATATATTTTTGATCTGTTTATCTTCTCCTTCTTGGGCTTCCAAGTAGCTACTTTCTAAGATGGTTTCCCATTGAAGTAATATGTGTATACCTGTCTACCCATTTTAGCTACATGTCCAACTCATTGTAATCTCTTTAATGTACGAGGTGCGATCGGAAAGTTTCAAGACTGTGTCAATGGAGGGCGAACCGGATGTAGTACGAGCTTCTGCCGCTAGGGGGTGCGGCCTACATTCATAGTGAATCAGTGTGCCAGCCGGCAACATCGAATTAGCATTTGTTTCTTAGTTACGGGCGTTTTGGTAGTGCATTACACCGACCCTCCTGCTATTTCGGAATGGCAGATTTTCATGAACAAATCAAATTTTGCCAAAGACTCGCCAAAACGGCTACGGAAACCTATGAAATGCTAAAGCAAGCATTTGGGGAGTCCGCAATGGGTCGTGCACAAACTTTTGTGTGGCATTCACGTTTTAAAAATGGCCGAACCTCTGTCGATGATGACGAGCGTGCTGGACGACCATCTTCGAGCACAACCCCCGAAAATTTTACGAAGATTCGGCAGGCCATTCACGAAGCCGTGTGACTTCTTCTTCTTCCCAAAGATGAAAATTCAGCTCAAGGGAAGGAGATTTGAGACGATAGGAGAGATTCAGGCAGAATCGCAGATGGTGCTTGACAGGCTGACAAAGAAAGATTTCCAGGGATGCTTCCAGGCTTGGCAGCGGCGCTGGGATCGTTGTGTTCACTCCCAGGGGAACTACTTCGAGGGTGATGGATGAATTTAATACCTGAGATAAGTGTACGGGTTTTTATACGCGCAGTCTGGAAACCTTTTGATCGCACCTCGTACGATATTTACCTAATTATATGATGATATCTTCTTAATATAGCATCTGAGAAAAGGAGATTTTGTCGTATAAATGCGAACAAATAAAATACTTCATTAAAGTAAATGTTTATGTTACTTATATTACAGAGTAGTAGTGTTTATAGTAAAAGTATCATTCTTATCCATAGTCAGGCAGGAGTAGGTGAAAGTAAAAAGTAAAGTAAAACAGTCCCACTACACCATGTAGGTCGCTCGGGGGGAGAGGAGGTATAGATCCTACTGATTCTTGACCTCGGCACTAGATGGGGGTTAGTGGTTAGCATCACGCCCTGGCCGCTCTTTACCCCTGGGAAAGGACTCTGGTACCCATTGGATAGGAGGCTGGGTGGGCCCCATAGCCAGTCTGGACACAGGCTGGAGGAAAAATCCCCTACCCCTGTCTGGGAACGAGCCCCAGTCATCCAGCCTGTAATGTCATTTCAGATTCATTAAAACTAGAGAAAATTTGTTTTATATGACTGTAACCTTTAGAGGGGGATCATCTTATATTTCAGTAAATGAGCTGCATAAATCACAGAGGAAATTCAGCAGAACTTAATTTCAGTCTGTATTGGACTGTATATTCTGATCACTTTTTTAAGTCCAAGTCATGCTTAATAAAATCATTCTCCATACAAAAATGAACTCACTATAAAAAATCTAGATCTCTTGAAGATATGTAACTTTTTATTATTTTATGATTTTTATATGGTGTATATTTCATGAAGCTCTAGGAAAAATAAGTTATTATCTGGTTTAATAGAGCATTATGTAAATTTAATTACATATAATGTAATTTATTGGAACTTTTACATTTACTTTGTTAATTTATGAAATAATTTTTCTAATTTAAAATATTTAAATTTACCCTAGCAATAACAAACATGGAAAGGGACTGCAAGACCAACAAACAACATTTTTGATCTTTTGTTTTGAAATTATATCCCTAAGAATTATTAAAACTTTATTGTTATTTTCATAAGTACTGATAAAAAAAGTTTATATTTTCTGGTGTCTAAGAGTGACACAGCCTGCAGCTGCATTTTTCAGGCCTGTTCTGTGAACTCTCTTACTCCTACTAATTTGCTCTGTTTTATGGAGAGAAGTGCATAAGTCTTCATGTGTGTGCAGGTTTTTACTGACAAGGATCGGCAGTACCTGAGCACATTTGATCCTGATGGTTCCAACTGGTTACGGTATGTTCGGCCTGCCCCAGCACGGGAGCAGCGTAACCTGGCACCTGTTGTGCGGCATGGAGAGCTGTATTTTGTGACTGTCACAGAAATTATAGAGGGAGAAGAGCTGCTGTATTGGTCAGATGATACAGCCACCAGTTGGTCTAAGAAGAAGATGGAGAAGACAAGTAGGTCACTAGAACTTTCTGACCAACTCTGCCAGTTGTTTTATGCTTCCGTTTGTCATTGCCATGTCTGGTGCCCCAGCCTATGCTTTAAAAGAAGTTAAGTATTTTGGTAATCTGTTAGTGAGTTTTTTAGTAAAAGTAATTAGTTATTCGAGTAATCTGTCATTTGAATATTGTATTCAGTTAGTTAAGTGGCTAGTAGGGAGGCTGATTGGTAGGCCACAAAGATATTTATCATATTTATGTTCAGATCCATGGTGGTACAATATATGTAACTATGTCCCACTGCCCAGAACCATAACATATTTTAATATTTTGACGTAAATATGTCTATATTGAAGGGTCATTCCGCAAAAAAGTGTTACGAAAAAGTGACAGGAAAATGTGTAAGATGTAACTTTTTTGCTTGTACCAGCAGAGGTGTATTGCTGTCAGAAATTTAATTATGAATTTGAAGAACTGTTGTAGTCTTTGCAAAATGGATCACCACTTAGTTGATTGTTTGGTAGGTCAGTTAGATGCTCAAATTAATAAGTCAGTCAGTTACTCATTTGGTAGATCAGTCAGTCATCAGTCATTTGATTACTGCAGTGTCACTGAGCAAGACTTAGAGTACTGCACCTGTTTCAGACTGTGGGGGTTGCAATCTACGTTTTTCACACCCACTATACTATCGCATGCACTGCACTGTGTTCCACGATCCCAACTTCAGCCTCACAATTCGCAAGTACCACTGCAAGGTTTGTGGCACGGCTGTTCTGGGCAAGGAGAATATCATGAAACATGCAGCTGAGCTGCATGATGGCAAGGGTGCATACCAGTGCCAGTACTGCAAAAAGGTTAGTTTAATATCTGTGTGTTCTGTAGGGACATACCAGTGTCATTTCAGCAATTTAAGCTCTGTTATGTGAGATAAAAATTACCCTTTCCTCCTAACAGGAGTATTTAAGTCACTTATTTGATTCTGACAGTACAAATAAAAAAGTTGTTTGCTTTAAACTATTTATTAAAGGGAATCTTTGTATTTTGTGGGAATATACATTATGTGACATATATGTCTGGAAGAAATGTGTAAGGGTGAATTCTAAAACAATTAAAAAAGTGTTATGAACATGAGTCGGGAAAAGCTTCCTTATTGAGTTACAGCCTTCCCTTTCTTCCCAAAATTGCCAACATGGTGGAATACGTTTGTTCCTTCACATCCATGTTTAGAGTGGAAATTTAATAGTAGGTGTTCGCATTGTCACACAAAATTTGGACTCCTTTTTGTTTCCATTCCCATTTCCTTAAAAGACATGTATATTTGATATTTCTTGGAATGAATAAACTTTAGTTTTCACCATGCTTCCTCTCTTCCTTGTCCAGCATTTCCCCTAGCATGGAGGAGAAGCAATGAAAGTATGAAAATGTGTCAATAATTTTGAGAAGAAAAGAAGGCTGTCATTTGAAAAGGAGGTTTTTCTGAGCCCATGTTCATATGAACTTTTTGCATTGTTTTGGCATGTTAAACTCTTCTTTATATTTATGTCACTGTATAGATTAGACAAGATAAAGGATCACTGGATTTTGTTAAGTAGCGTGTGGAATTAAGTTTATGTATGAAAAACTGACTAATACATTGAATTACCATTGTTGACTGTTAGGAATCAGTGTTGAACTGTGTACCTTACTTTATGCCATGAGCTGTAATGCTCTTTTTGCCTGCCCAGTTCTTCCTGCGTCTTAACTACCTGGAGATGCATCGTACATATGGCTGTGCATCAAATCCACAGCGTACACGACCGCTATGTGATTTCTGTGGGAGAAAGTTTTGTCAACCTCAGAAACTAAAAGTCCACATCAAACGCATGCATAGTGGTAAGTCCTATCCTTACATCTAAAATAACTGCATAAAACATAGAAGGGCCTGTTTTTGTAATAGTGTTCAGACTGAATAACAGAGAAAGAGACGAGCTTATTATGAGCAAAAACACCAATAGGAAAGCAGGGCAACACAGCACGAGCACTTGACTCTGCCCACCAGCTCTGATTGGCTAGGGTCCAGCCATGAGGATTAGTCCCAGGCAGGTATATATTGGAAACGACTGTGGATGGGGATGGTGTTGGTTCCTGAAACGTTGGTTGCTTCATGTAACCAGTTGATGCACCTGATTGCCCAAGAAGATTTTATTGAGATCTTTGGAAAATACGCATGTTAAAATAAGTTTTTATAGAATGAAAAACCAATTGCAATTATGCAACATTTTCAAAAAAAATTCAGTTTTACAACAGTAATTAATGAACCACAGAAGCTAGAAATATGAAATGTTGTATGAAGATAGATTATAACTATTCTTACAAATTATGTATGGAATAATGTTTATATCTGTACAGTTACAAACATAGCAACAAATTTAATTCATATAAAATCTCTAGAACTAAATTCTTCTCACAGATAACATACTATTACTGCTACCACTAATAATGTTATAGTAATAATGACAGCAACATACAACATTATCACTTATGCGTAACATACTAACTTATGAGTTATTTTCTATTTTATTGTTGGATTATAAACATTGCTTTACCTATAACATTAACAAGATTTCTGGGACTTGAAGTCTGTGCAGAAGGAAAGTAGGCTTTATGAGTTATGCAAGAATTCTTTGTTTGGTGTTTTATTTCTAATACAAATATGTGGCAGGAGCTTTAGGAGAACACATCAAAGTTAATTTTAATACTTAATAGGTCATCACCATCTATTCATTGTTCATGAAACTGTCATTCCCTAAACATAGTCTTGTTTTTGCTTACTTGGGTCTGATACAGCAGGAAGGTGTTGTTTTGTTTGTCAGACATGGCAGAGGTTCTTCGAGAGTTCCAGTGCAAGATTTGTCTCAAGCTTCTTGGTTCTCGAGCTGCCTTGCAGCGCCACATGAAGGAGGTGCATCACAAGGATATTGTGGGAGCCTGCACCTGTGATCGCTGTGGCAAGATGTTCCAAAATAAGTCAAATCTTAAGATACACATGTTGACACATTCCGGCGTCAAGCCTTTCAAGTGAGTGCAACATTGTAACTAAGTCCGTGTTTAGGGCAGTTAGTAGCTAAACAACGTTCCATTATGGAACCATGCCTGCTACTGGAATCTCAACTGCACTATTTCAGGTCACTTCACATCCCTATGCACTGTTTCCTCTATATTAAGTTAAATATTGTCCTACTGAGGGTACTCAATGTTACAGTTGAGTGGCTGGCACTTATGTCATTTAGAAGTTCAGATTTTGTTTGTTGAATTGGAAACCAACTATCCTGACTGAGGTTTGTTGTGATTTTCCCCATTTTCTCCAAGGAAATGCTAGTGTAATCATTTAAAATAGTCTCTCACCGCTTCCTTTCAATCAATAGCCTTTCCAGCCTATCATTCACTGTATAATCTATGAAATGCAGTTGAAAAGCATCATTAAATAAACTAAGAACATTGTTGGCATTTAACAGCCTGTTGTTATTCATACGGTAGCCATTTAATTGTGCAGTGACTTTGTTTTTGTGACATTGTATGTTTTAATTGATGATGTGAAATGGAAAATATTTATACACAATTGCTTCAAAATGTAGATAATAAGATTCTCCATATGACAAATTAAACTAACTCCATGAACTATAGTCCTTCTTCAGAAGTTGACATTATATTCAGCTACTCAAGGAACTCCCTACCTTTGAGAAGGTTCATTACCATGTTCATAAGCATTCATCACAAGTGCCTAAGCATAAGCCAGATGTATTCAGTCCATTTCTTCCCACTATATTTCCCTAAGATCCATTTATAATTGTCCTCCCATCTACGTTAATGTCTTCTCTTCAGGCTTTCAAACCAAAATTTTTCATGCGTGGCAGAAGGGAATAACAATGGTTCTGAACTCCATGTTAAGAAGCATTCCCTGAAATTAATGTATTCTTGGTTTCTTCATGAATGCCATTTTGATTTGTTATAGTTTTTCCTGAATGTTCGAACTTTGGCACATTTTCAAAGGATGTATTACCTACCATTATATATAATAATTCCATTCTTTATGCTGGTGACAAGACATGGATTTGTATCTAGTTTCTTCTGTGTTTACTTTGAAGCTAACGTGCTTTGTAGCATGCAGTAGATACCATAAATCTAAAGTGGTGATGTTGATGCTGATCTTCTGTGTTTTAATGCCATGTGGACTTCTAGGTAGATACCAGTGTTGAGAAACTTACTGTCTTTCAACATTATTGCATCTATGAGAATCTCAGCTCTCATGAGTAGTGATTAGTTAACCTTGATGGCTATAATGGATATATCTTGTCTTACAAGTCAGGCTTCATATTCCAACACAAATGATTTGTAGTGAATGATGTAGTGAGAAGAATGTGGAAGCAAACAGTCATGTCCTGTTTTAAAGTACTATCCCTGTAGTTACTTGGAGGGACTGAGGAAGCCTTGAAAAGCCACATTCAAGATAGTTAGCCACTCAGCCTTATGATCTTGTTATAAGGAGAGGGGTTAATATAATTTGTAAGATTTTCTTTGTGGAGGTTTTGTTATAATGTAACTGTAGAAAAAAAGTATGATAAGAGTTAATTTATTACAGATGTAAGGAGAATGGGTGTGTGGCAGCATTCACGACCAAACAGTGCCTCCAGTTCCACTATAAGAAGGTGCACAGTTTCTCTGAAGAGACGATGCCTGTTATTGAACGTTCAGTCGCTTACACATTTGATGCTTATTCTGGTGGTATTGTTGAAGAACCTGGACGTGGGAAGACACCGCGGTTTGACAAGGAGAGACGTAACTCAACAGACAACAACAGCAGCAGTTTGCTATCACTGGATGAGAGTAGTTCAGCATCCAGTGTTAAAGCTGATGTCTCAGGCACCAGCTCCACAACTGAATGCAACAGTGGTCAGTAGGGGTAGTATACAACATTTATACAGTTCGTTGATAGTATCCTTCTCCTCCATTTTTACCCCCTCCACATTTTATTCTCTCTTGCCTTCTCTCCTCTTACTTTTTCTATTCTTATCCCTCTCATTCTTCTTTAATTATTATTGCCTTCTTGTTCCCTTCCTGCTCCTCCTTATCATTCTCAGCCTCTGTGGTTTCTTCTTTCTTCTGCACTGGATCCTACTTCGTGAATGCTTAAACAATTACACTATGACTGAACACTGTTTGTCATTAATTTAAATCTGTGTAACTTCTAAACTACCAATTGAATTGAAATGGGACTTAGAACAAAATATACCTGTCATTTTGCTGTATTTCTTCTTTTTTAAATTGTCTGTATTATTTGCAAAATGAAAATTTATTTCAAAAATTCCATCAAAAGTGTGACAAGGTCTCACAGTAGGATCATAATGTAATTTATGGAGAACATGCAACACAAACAAGCTTGCACTTAAGGTTTTAAACTGTTTAGCATTTCATTTGAATGCAAGAATGTTTATATGGATTGAAGATTTCTGTCTTCTGGGTTGTTGCGCAGTGTAGTCTGGTCGATGTTAACCAACATTTCAGAGGTTATACTGCCTCATCGCCCTGATGATGGAGGCAGTATGACCTCTGAAACGTTGGTTAACATCGACCAGACTACACAGCGCAACAACCCAGAAGACAGAAATCTTCATACTCACCGCTGTGAAAACCTCAAATTTTATATGGATTGTTCAAGTATCTGATGTTCCTCATTCTTTAGGGTATAGTTTATGCCTCAAGTGATGACATTTTGTGTCCAAAACCAAGTAACTTATTTTTCTGGATTCATTTTAATGTCATCTTCCCATCACCTTCAAAATTGTCAGTACAGTGTTTTTCACCTGACTTTTGTATACACTTTTTGTCTTCCTCATAACTGCACTTGTAATTTATGTTCTTCTGGTGTAAGATCACTCATTACAGCCATACCATGCAGTCATTGTTCTATATATTCTAATCTTTATTGTAGTAAATGGAATGTCCATATTTTTGTTCTTTTTTTGCTTTATATTTTCAAATTATTACTTTCCCACATAACATCTGTCAGTGTAATTTATTCGTTGTACAGTTTCTGAACTGTATAGTGTAAACCCTCAATGTGACACATTTTGATGTATCATTTCAGGTCAAGATGATAACAGGGGTGTGAAAGATGATCCTCCCCAGCTAACACCACCTCCTCCACCTCAACCCAATGAACACACAGGGCAGCAGCCCCCGACATTGGAAGCTTACATCACACCACCCCCTGGAAAGGTAGTGATGAGCAAGGGTAGTAAGAAGTGGTTGGGAGATCCCACACCCTTGGAAGCCCCCAGACCATTGCCTGAGAAGAGCCCTCTGTATGAACTGGATGGGGGGAAGGGACCAGATGAGGATGTAACTATGAGTGTAGCAGAGCCAGAATGCCGAAAGACACCTCCACCTATATACCGACGGCCTGAGTCATCATCTAATGCAAGTTTGTTAGTGGAGGCAGCCCTAGATGCAGCTGAACGTGACATAGATATGTCAGGGGTTGTGACTTCTCCCACAGTGATTACAGCAAATGACAAACAGAACAGTGAGCCCTTGTACCCACATCACTTAGTGAATGGGCATCTGGCACCCTCACCATCTCCTTCCACTGACCACATGGACAGTTACACACTGCAGTCTCCTGCTACAACCCCTGACCCACAGGAGGGTTCCCCTTCAGGACACTTGCAACACCTGGAGGGCTATACATCGCCACCACGCATGCATTACAGCATGCATCATCAGGAGGACCTTATCTCCCCAGCTGAGACACCTCATCCCACTGGTTACATGCATCACTCTGAGGAGATGTCACCTGACAATCAGCGAGGTGGTCACATGGAGGGCTACAGTCCTCATTATGAGCTGCACCATCAGGTGCCCACAGACAACCTGTCTAGTGATGAAGGGGAAGGGGCACAGAACCTAAGTTTGGGTCTCAAGGAGAAGGCAGGGTTAACACTTGACCTGGCATACAAGCAATATGAGGTGTTGGAAGAACTTCGTCCAGGTTTTGAGCCAATCCTGGTGGGCTCCACAGAGCTGCAGGGCCTTGATATGTCTGCACGCAGTTATCACCATGGGAACTTTGGTTCTCAAACCGTTTCACGCTACCATCACACAAGTGTGCTGTATGATATGGCAGCAGGAGGTCCAGAGCGACAGAGTGTTGACCTCAGCATGACTGGTCGGGCTGGTAATGGATACACTTCTCCCCCACCTCCTCCCCCCTACTCACACTCTGAGGTGCTGCGTGTTGTGAGCCTGGACCTGTCACGTCATCACCCTCATCACCCCCATCATCAGCTGCCTGCGCCCCGTGCCATGACCCCTTCCCCTGCCCCACCAGGCACACCCAACCATGTTGTCCCAGAGATGAATCGAATGTCCACAGTCAATAACCAGGGACTGGTGGACCCAGGCCGTATATTGTCTCCTCCTCCTCATCCCAGCTATCAGACCTACCCTCTGTCACCTTCTCCATACCATCGAACATCCCACATAGCCTCTACATCTCCCTCTGCATACCATCACTACTCAGGGTACTACTAAGGCAGCTGGAACTACTCATGTTCATATTGATCATTAATTAAAATTTTTAACATTTCTTGCATATGGAATTTAAATTTAATAACTGATGACAAGTTTGCATTAAGTGTGGCATAAATGTTTTTAAAAGAGTGCATTCATTATTAATGTTATTGGACATGCTTCCATACTGTTATGTGTTCATCATCAGACAGATTGTTGCTGTTTCTTAATTTTAAGTATTACCATTACCATCACCATTACTGCTGCTACCACCACCCTTATCATTATCATCATCGTCATTATTACTTGTGTAATGTTTTAATGTTATAGTGTAAGTATTCCTCATCTACAAATTAATGCCAAAGAATTGTAGTGATGTCAGTATTTGTCCTGGAACATTGC